ACTTCGGGTGGGAAAGTCTCTTCATCTGCTGGGGCCCCATGAGGCTGATGCCTGGCATCCACATGGCCACAGCCATCGCTACCCCTCTTGCCTGGGGATCCGCTGATGCCCGGCGTGGCTGTGCCAGCAGCAAGTGACCGGCCTCTCTGTCCTGATGCTCAGGGCAGGGATCAGAGGTGGGGCCGTGGGGCATTGACCCTCTCCCAGCCACCGAGGTTTTGGATCTGAGGGATATCTAGAGCAGGGAGCGGGACCATTGGATTTAGTTCCTTCTGATTTCTATGCTGAATTTATCCAGTTGCTTTTCTCCTGTAAATTTTAAAGCCATTCTCCATGCTCCCAGAGCAAGGAGTCCACAGCTTGGCTATGGTGGAAGAGCTTTCCTTTTCACTGGTGTAGACCTTGCTGCTTTCTGGTGGCCCCATGCTCTTTTACAGGGAAGAGCTGGACACCCGCTTGATTTTGCAGGCTTTTTGTCTCCTCCCCATTCAGCCCACTCTTTCTGAGGGTGCTGCTCAGTGGGAACCATCCCATGCAGGAGGATTTCAGTCTGGAAGCGGCAGCCTCCTTCCCCCCGGCTCCTCCCTGCCTGGCTGGAAGGCAGCCAGTCCCTCCAGCTCTCCGGCAGCGCGGGGGGCGAGCTGGGAGGCGAGGTGAGCGGAGGAGTGCTCCCATCCCTGTACCCCACGTCTTCAGCCCACCAGAAGCCCCAGGAAGGAGTGAGATACTCTGGCATCGTACCAGTCAGAAGGGGCTTGTCAGGGGCTCTGCTTTGCCTCTCAAATGCTGCCCCTGGAGATTCAGTAGCTGCTCAAGACTTCTGGCCCATCAATTATTTAATTCCCTCCAGCCATGTGGTCTTCAGCCCCGAGGGCTCATCTCCTCCAAATGCACAAGCCTGTCTGTGGGGGGAGCGGGGTTAGGCAGGGGATGTGGAGCTGGGGCTGGGCAGGGGACCGCCACTGGGAAGCAAAGCAGAGGCACAGGGGACAGGTCTCACAAGCCCAAGTGTTGAGCCAAGCGCTTTGGCTGGCATCTTCTCACCCAGACACACATCAGCTGGAGGGGTGGGTTCTTCTTCTGATCTACTGGAATGACCCTGGCAAATCACTTCCCTGCTCCGTGCCTCGCTTTCTTCACCTGTAAAATGGGGCCAAAGATTTCACAACCAGTGTGAGCTTCAGTGGCACCCACTGCCCACCGTAGTAGCACACAAATGTGTGTTCAGGATGGCGTTTTGCAATAAAACAAGAGTGTGGCTCTCACCACTGCCCGCAGGGGCTACACCAACATGGATGTGTCTTTAGTGGATCACTTAAGGCTGGTGGTCCCCGTTTGGTGCTGCTGCCCGTGCTGTCTCAAGCTGAAGCAACAAGGTACGGCACAGCACGGCATGGCGGGCGCTGCTGGGTAGGCAGGACAAGCCGCGACACGCGGGCAGGCAGGCGGCTGGAGCCGAGTAGGTGTGTCGCTGTTACCCAATAAATAACTCAAGCCCTAAAGCAGCCCATTATAATTACAGGGGCCCCGCGCAGATTGAAAATGAAGAAGAAGGAGGAAAAAAAGGAAATCAAGGTTCAGACTTCCCCAGGAGGTAGCGCTCCACAGGGGAAGCGATAGAGGGGAGCGGTGATTTATATCTCTCCAGAGGAATTCTCCTTTCCAGGGCTGCCCCAGGCGCCGAACTGCCGCCAGGTTCAGCTGAGTTTCTCATCTGAATATGCATGAGCCAGTAATTAATTCTCTCTGATACTGATCCAGATTTGGGGTTGGTTTTGTGAGTCTGTGTGTGTGCGTTGTGTGTCCGTCTTCTCCCAGGTGTGCCGATGCAGGAAGGAGGGACCAGACGAAGGAACGGTGGCTCTGCACACAGTTGTCCCTGCAGGATGACAGCCATCGGCGCCCTGTGGCTGGTTTGGGGCAGCAGGGTGGCTCCAGTCAGGCGGGGATCCCCATAGGGTGGCTCTGGGGGGGGGGCTTTCTGGGGACAGCGGGAGGAAGGACGACGGAGTGCAGGACACAAAGGAGAACAGGGCCACACCATGCAGCAATCCCTGCTTCAACACGCATCAAGCCTTGGGCACGTGCAGGGGGGTGTTTTCCCTCCTCCTGAGGGCATTGCAAAGACCTCGTGTTTGCAAAGTGCTGGGAAGAGGCAGGGAGGGAAGAGAATCTGGCCTTGCCTCTTCCCTCCCACCTTCCTCTCTCTCTCTCCTTTTAAATCTCTTCCGCACATCACTTTTAGCAGTGGGACAGGAGCTCCAAGGAGCAAAACCACGTCTCTGGCCCAAGGCCCAGGCCTGGGGCAGGGTGTGGGTGTGTAATCTCTGTGTGATGGGCCCTTGCCCTGAGTCTGATCCATGGTGTTGTTCACTCAGGCTTGTAGTCACCAGCAGCCTTCAAACCAGAGGGAAAACCAGAAAACTCATTAAAAGAGAGAGGCAACTGTTTTCCAACTTCATCAAGCCCACACCCTGGGCCACAGATCTCTCTCCCCCTGCCTCTGGGGCAGGTTGCCCTGATGCCCTCCTCACCCCTCGCTTGAGAGAAAGGCAATAATCAGCTTTGCTGCCATTAAACTCAGCGGTGGGGCCCCAGCAGCCTGTCAGGGGCAAGCTGGGGTTGTCCTGGCATGCAGGCAGGGAAGAAGAGGGATTTGAGTGCCAGCTCCCAGGCCATGGCATCACCAGTGCAAGGCCTTGGCAGCCAGGGAGGTGGTGCTGGGTCCTCTCCTGCTCCCTGGAAAAGCCAGCATCCCAAAACAGAGGCTTCCCTTGTCCCAGGTGTTGTGTGGTGTGTCCCTACACCGTCCCCCTCACATCCCCACCCTGTCCATAGGCAGGAGCAGGATTATCAGCAGTGCTTGGGTGTATTGCTGCCCTCAACCTGGCCCTGGCTCCGGCCAGCACTCAGCTGAGGGAGGCAGAAAAGGGTGCTCCTTTGCCTCTTGGCCAGCCAGGGCCATGACTTCCTGAAGTCGTGGGGAAGCCAGAGAGCATCTTGGACATCAAGGGACCATGGTGTCATTACCTGCTGGGGTCAGGGGACCTGGAGAGACCACACTCACTTTCCCATATCCTCCAGTCATGGGGAATAACCCCCTAGAAAGCTGTCCTCACCCTGGGGCTCCATGCAGAGGCCCAAGGGGGACACTGGTGGGACGGGGCCATGTCTTGTCCACCACACCCTGCTCTGGGCGCCAGCAGTGGGGTGCAGAGCAGCCAGACTCCCTACATCCCTCGGAGGGATCCCTGCAAATGTCTCCAGGCTCAGTGAGCAGCGGGCTGGGAAAGGCCAGTGAGTCAGCGCCCTGTTTTGTAATGCAGGGGGCAGAGCGCGTGTCGGAGCAGGGATGGCCGTGAGCTGAAGTGTGGGGCCCGCCTGGGCCTTTTGCAATCCTCTGGGGAAAGGCAAAGTTGGTGTCTCCATCCCTTAATTAAAGTGCGCCACAGGGACCCGCTCCCTCCTGTTTAGGTGGTTGGTGGGGATGGATGGAGGAGTGGCAGCCTGGGACGTGGGGAGGAGGGAGGGTGGCCTCACCAGCCCTTCTCCTGTGGCGCAGTCTCAGCCTTGGTCCCATGGTCTCATGAAGACATTTTTTGGGCCTGTGAGCCAGCCCCAGTGCCCTACACACCTCCACTCCCTCCTGCGAGCATATGAAGCTCCTTCCCACCTCCCTGTTGCCCTCCAGATCCCCCAGCAGCACTCCTCCAGGCCCCACAGAACAAACGTCCACAAAGCCATGGCCCCTGCGTCCAACCCTTGCCCATCGAGGAACAGAAGGTGACACAGCCAGGATGTCATCTCTGCTGGCTTCATGTCCCGCATCACCAGCCTGACCTAGAAACACTACCACGTCTCGTGCGCCGGAGCCCGGGGATGCTGCAGGCTCATCCCTCTGTTTTTTCCAGAGCAGCTGAGTGACAGTCGCCCCTCCCCTGCCTCTCCGAAGAGCGTAATGAGAATTTCCTCCAAGGAGCAGCTTGCCGCGATGAAATAATCGCCTGAGCAGCAGGATCTTCGCCGGGGATTAGAGAGGCTGCTACTTGCTGAGCTAGGGAAACGGCCGAGGAGGGAAAACTCCTACCGCCTCCTCTGGCACCTCAATTCTTTTGCCAAAGTGATCGCCTGCTGCAGACGGAGTGAGGTCCCAGGCAGAGCTCAGCCCTGGAAACTTCTGTCCCTGATGCCCGGGCACTTTTGCGAAGTCTCCTTCCACCCTCCGCCTCCTTCTCTCGCTGCTCCCTGCGGAGCTGCTCCCCAGCCCCAGCCGGCGGGAGGGGTGGAGAAGAGGTAAAGCGGCAGCTGCCTTTTACAGGCAACAGTTTTTTTGTTGTTTCTTCTTGGACTGCTGAGGCATAAAACACCAAGCTGAGCCTGTTTCTGTCTGCCTTACACACAGGGGCACTCACCACCGCACGGAGGGACAACAAGGGCTATACATGGATTTCCGATGCAGAGTGGTTTAAGGCAGTTTTGTTTCCACTCCAGGCTTGGTTGTGTTTTTTGTTTTGTTTTTTTTTTTTTTCTCCTCCGCCTCTCTGTCTTCAGTGGGATCCTGGTGTGACCATCCCTTGAGGATTCCTAATTTTCTTTCCCAAATATCCCACATCTCTTCTTTTTTTAACTGTTTGGGAAATGTGGGAACCCCAAGCCCAAAGGACCACCCCTGGTTTGAGGAGAAGGCACAGATTAAAGCTGAGTTATAGCAGAAGTGCTTTATATTAGGGCTGGGCTTTGGTGGTGTTTTGTTTTGTTTTTTCTCTCCTCTTTTGGACACATTTTGAGACTCACCGTTCGCCAGCACCCAGCTGGGCTGTAGCAGAGGGCGCTCCTGCCTTCAGCCCTGTTAGCAATCTGCCCCGAACCTACAGCCGCCGTTGAGTGCCGTCTCTGGGAATAGACAGCAGCTGCCCTTGTCTTGAACACACCGAGCGAGAGGCGTAGCCAGCAGCGACCAGAAATCCAGGTTTCCACAGCCCTGTTCTTCCCCTGAGCACATGGAGAGGCTCTTGCCCCGCTCCCACCTGGCCCCCGCCACCGGGTCAGAGCGGGACATCCAACGTGAGAAATTTGTTGTCCCCAAAAGGCCCCTCCTCACTAAATGCCGGCTCACCAGCGGCGCCCGACAGCCACGAGCAGGGCACCGTTGTGCCGAGAGCAGCTGTGACGCAAAGCGACAGTTTCCTGCGGCAGTGCTCGGGTGGCGGGCTGGCAGCCGGTGAGGTGGCCCCTGGGGCCGGAGGATGCCGGGACAGGGGATGGCCAGCCCCGGCGC